ATTTAACGCTGTACACCTGCCCATTCATTAAAAGTAAAAACGCGTTAAATTTCCGATATTGACGATATTAAATTTCGATTCTTTGAGACGTAAGTCCTTAAGTTTCGCACAATTCGAAACGAGTTTCGGACCTGGGTAAAATAAAAAACCGTAATGTTGTAAATTAATCGTAATAAAGGTTGATCAGATAAAGAGAGTAATAACGTTTGTGCACGAACGGTCCTTTTGGGGTTTTTAAATAAATCACCGAAATCAGACGTCTTCTATTCAAGTGTCATTCAGTCAAACACTGCACTGCGACAATTAAAAAAAAAAAATTATATCTTTGTCACTCTTTGTGAAATCTTTGGGCACAGCTTCAGTTTAAATGTTATGACCTCAAGACAGTTTGAACAACCGTTTTGATCGAAAAGAAATGCGTTCGTAGATTTTGGGTTTTTTAAATTCAGATAAGGAATAAAATTACATTGTAAGGGGGGCTACATTTGAAAGATGTTTGTCATGCAAGTTTGTCAGTATTCTCTTTGGAGTTTCATGCAATCTGAGATGCCATCATAGGTTTTATTTACAATGGAAGGTCACACAAAACGTTTGAGTTTTTAAAATTCTTATTCAAGACTTACGAGCCAGTAAAAAGAATGGTTGGGTGGAGAAGATAAGTAGATTTGCAAAAATTTGGACATCCAAGTAGCCTCCCTTTAAGAATAGTTGTCTTGTAAGGGGAGTTTGTGGGCCATTATTTCTTTAACATGATTCTTCATCCCAATTGAAATAATTCGCCATTAATCCCTAAATTGTCTGTTTTGCAACAATCCGTTTAAATCTTATCACGTTCCTCTATGGTTCATTTGACCGTTTCTTTAAAAGCTTTTTTTGATCACCCCAGTGGTTCAACTACTGCCGTTACACAGGATGCAAGATCCTGGGTTTTACTGCATTTCCTGGGGGTCCGAGCAAAAACAAGAGGAGATGTCCCCTTTGGGACACTGAGGTGTTTATAAAGTTATAGGTAAAACTCTCGTTTAAGCTTGAGTTTTTTTTGTAGCTCCCTTTTTTAGCAGTAATTAGATTGCTGTTAACCCCCAAAGGTCACTCATAATCACTTTCAGCTATTAAGAGTTGCTATCAGTATGAGATTTCTTACAACTTGGAGGCAATTTCCACTTACATCAGCAAAAATGACTTGAAATTGAATGACAGGGGACTATTAGCAAAAACCTTCATGTTAGAGAGTAGAGAACATCGAAAAGGAAATTTTTTTCCCTATCGCTAAGGTAGTGAGAATGAGGATATACATTTATCTTAGTGAGTCAGTGGTAAAAGTTCCTTCTCGGACCTTCTCGGCTCCGCCATATAAAGAGGAAGGAAAATCTTTAGAGAAGAGGACTACCATCGCATTCAAGCCTGGGACACATGTAGAGGTAAATACTCCTCGTCGCTTTATTTTATTGAAAATCAAAGATAAGAATTAGAGGTGGCGAATGGTCCTTTAAAAAACAGGGGTCTTGCAGTTTTGTTTTTTTTACAGGCTATGTGCGTCTCGCGATCGCTTTTTTTTTTTTTTTCACAGAGCGGTCTCCCAGACTCTTGTTTTTGAAAGACTAATGAGAAACTCTCGAAGTCCCGATTCCTTTGCTTGTTTCATGATAAGTGTCTGAAAGTCTTAGAGTCTGAATGTCTCGCCCTCGCATTTAAAACACTTTAAAGTCTCGCTACCACAATTTAAAAAGTTAAAATGTCTCAGGTTCGCTAAGAAAAACGCTAGTCTCGCGTTCTCGCAAAGTCTCGCATTAACCATTCACTGTTCCTGACTGGAAGTGATGAGCTAACTGTCATTTTCGGTCTACTGCAGCGGGATTTGATGACTCCACTGTCACTAAAAGTATTCAGTACGTTAAGAAAACTTTCAGGCTGGATTGGGTCTGAAAAAAATTAAACAAAGTTTTTTTACTTTTACTTGTTTTTGGCGAAGCATTTTTTTGAACGAATTGTCCCGGTGGTCAGTGAAACTGTACAAAACAAAGACAACTGTGAGGTTAGGGAATCACTCACTGGTTGAGTACACTTCCAATGTTTTATTGTCATAATAATGGGTCCTGAATGGAAGGGGAACACCCTTCTCACCCCCAGCATGAGGTATCAGTTATGGCACCGTGTTGTTGTCAAAAATTGTGGAAAAAAAATGAGTGCTAGGTGCATGGAATATTCTGTGTACTTCCACTCAATGGTCAGTAGGTCCTGTCCCCTTCCTTCAACAGACTACTGGATTGAAGTAGATCTTGATTTACTACTGGCTTTGAGTGATGGAAGTAATATAATAAGGGTGAGGGGGATAGGAGAACATGTCAGAAAAACAGGTTAATACAGAGAGAGGTACAGGTAGGTGCATTTATAATTCATCTTTCAAAGGAGGGTATTATGATACCATGAGGTTATTTACTAAATTACTGTAAAATATTGGTTACTGGGGAGATTTACTAAAACCAAAAGGTGATTATTTTTTTATATGTTTAAAGCACACATAGACCAAGCAATGTATCTGATAACAAGATTATGTTTGATAGGAGTGTTTCCAAAGCTTCGAGACATGATAAGTGTCAAAAGATTTGATGCAAGAGAATGAAAGACTTCAAGAGGATGAAAAAATCTGACATTTTTGTTTGAAGATCAATTAACTGGGTATATAAAGCACTATGTAAGAAAGAGTGCACTGAAAGCTGTACTTCTATAACTCAATAGAACACAGAACAAGTAGTATAGTGCAACCAAAGAGAATTTACAATTTTGATAATCAAAATGAACAAACGAGTTTTCTTCGCTTTTTTCCCAAGGTTTTCTGTACGAGATAGAATGCATTTTCTCCACCTTTCTATTGATTTATAAACATTTGTGAAAATTTGGGAAAAGCAGTTGTTCCCACAGCATTTTTCATTATCCCAAACTGTTTCTATAACTGGCAGGAAATAGAAAATGGTTTTCTATTTCTTAATAATATTAAGTAGACTGAAGAATATGAATGACGCATTATATCATGTCTAATTTATTTTCATTTGAGTATCATTGGATGCTTATAAGCAGTTAAACATCTGTAATTTTATTTCAGTAAAGATTTTGTTGCTCTCTCTGATTGAAGAGTCAATTTGCCATTGTAGAATATTGGGACTTTCAAGTTATCTTTTCCACTTTTATTACCTTGTGTTTTAAAGTCTTCAATTCAAGGAGTGGGTGCCTCTTTGGGTCTCTCAGTATATGACAGTCTTAGTGCTTGACCTTTGCTTTGCAAGGTTCCAGAGTACTGAGCATGGCCGCCAAAACTGTTCTTCTTGAAGAACTTCTAGTATGGTTTAGAAGCCCACCAAAAAGCCCCTATGCTTGTCGTTCTCAATGAATCCATACATTATTCAAAAAGTATCATTTAACTTTCTTCATAAGAGGCTGACTCTCCTTTGAGACAGTGAAATGGATGGTCCAAGGGCTCTTCCACTGTGGCCAGTGCACCATTAATGTGGATCTTGTGCCCTGAACTGGTCTCTTCACTCTCCAGACCTTGTTTCATCCTTGGTGTTCATCTGTGAAGCTGCAGCCTAGCATGATCTTTAACAGCATCATCTTCACAGTTGCTTAGTTAGTTGTGAATGAAGAACTTCAGTCCCATCCAGTTGAAATACATGAAGACCACAAACACTGGTATGGAGGTTGGCACAAGAAGACCAAAGTAGCATGGTGAATACTGATTTAGACATGATTCTGGAAAATCCTGTTACATTAACAAACATAAAATGTACTGTCACTAACTGCAAAAAATGTCTGCAAAATGTAAGAGCCAGTGTATTGCCATAACTCTGACATTGTTCTGTTGGTTATAGCCATCTGTGGTAATGAAAACAAATGGCAAAAGTCTCCTCTATAAAACTCAGGTCAGTTTACTTGTAATTTGCCCTTTGACAGAGCTATTCTTGGCAAAATTAATCTTAGTTGAAGCACTGATGACGTTCTAAAATTTACTCTAACAACAGCTTATTTTGTACCTAAACAATGATTACAAATATCAAAAATAAATTTTACTTAAATATTGCAAAATGATACTGGTCCAACGAAAGTATAACAAGAGCCCTCAAAAGTAATTTAATGTTGGATAGTCATGGCATGATCAGTTGCTTTACACTGTACATGTGTGCAACTTCAAGATGAAAACTGCAGCCTAGTCTAGTCTAAGAAACTGGAGTTTGCAATTAAGTGATACTTGTTCCTTGACTGCAGGCACACTTTTAATGCAAGGACTGTCCTTGCGTTAGGATCAACTTTGCAACAGCAGTGTTACTGTTTGTGAGGGTGCTGTATTAAACGAGTAATGGTCTGTGCTGCTGTTAAATTCGATCAAATACGAGAGTCACCGCGAGATGATCAATTCAGTCATGTTAGTAGTGGGCTGAACAGCCGTAGATAAGAAAGCTTCGTATGTACTTATCTGAGTTTTAATTGTTTACTATGTGTTGTGTATAATCGAAGATGTTCCTCAGCAAAATATTGCAAGGCTCTTATGGTTCTTATAAACGTCTGTAAAAATTGTGCTCTCAACGCGACATAAGTTTATATAAGCTTATGAATGCAAAGACAGAGGCGGAGCACGGGGAGCCCGCCCCCCCCCCGCTTATTTTGGGTTTTTGGGTGAAAAGAAATCGCAGAAGGAAGAAAAACCGGCAGGGAAAGCAAAACAAAACCGGGCTCCCCTCTTATCTCAAGGTCTGGATCCGCCACCGAAAGCTACATGAGCGCTCGGCATCAACGCAACATTAAATTATACGGGATGTTTTTTTTATCGCGTATTTTTCCCATACCCACGAAGAAAAACCTAGATATTTCCTTACCTCTGTAGTTAAATAAGTATAAAATATCCCGAAAAGGCAAACAATTACGAAGATTGGAGAGAAGATCAGCAAAAAATACGGGGCCAAATTGTCCGCAAAAGTATAATGAACTTCTTCTCGTTTGTCCTCCATTACATTTTCGCGGCTGACCGCTGATCAACAGGTATGGAAGTCCACAGTTTTTTTTGAAGTAGTTGCTGGGCAGAAAATTTTATGATCGCGGTCTCATTGGAATCCAACATGGCGGGAAACATGGCGGGAGATTCAGTTCATTCTGTGTATCGAAGCCCTCTTACAAGCCGTTATGCTAGTCCTGAAATGGCGTTTAACTTCTCCGAGGACAAGAAATTCTCAACATGGAGAAAGTTATGGCTTTTTCTAGCGAAATCCGAGAAGGTAAAATTTGTTGCCTTTCGAAGAACAGTTCATACACAGGATTTCAGTGGAGTTAAACGATTTTGACTTTGTAGATGCTGGGATTAGATATCACAGATGAGCAAATACAGGAAATGGAAGCTAACTTGACGAATATAGACTACAAGCTTGCGGCTTCTGAGGAGAGGAAGCGTAGACATGATGTCATGGCACACGTGCACACATTTGGTGTATGTTGTCCAAAGGCGGCCCCCATTATACATTTGGGAGCTACCTCTTGTTATGTTGGCGATAACACTGTAAGTTATTGTACAAAAGTAGTTTTAGGGCCTAGGGCTATGGGTCAAAAAGTAAGTAACAGTGGTAGGAGATGGGAGAGGGAGAAGTCTTTTTTTTGGGTGGGGAGAGGGGGTGATGGAAGGGGGGAGGGGGGGCTGAACTTCCCCATTCCACTTCCAGCACCTTTTTATTCTGGTTCCTGCCGGTTTATTGCAAAACGTTCTCTCCCCCAGAGACTGCTCTCTGTTTGGTCAGCACCAAGAAACTACTGTGTTGCAAAAGCCATCCAGGACTGTAATCCTGACCAAAAGGAGCACAGCTGTGAGATGAGAATGGCAAAACACCAAAAAATCATGCACTTTTGTTAAGTGTTTCCGTTATTTCTCCTGGCTCCTGGCTCATTGGGAAATTATTAATTCCACTTCCAGCCTTTCTACCTAAATGTGAGATCCATGTCTCCAGACTATTAACCTAGCATATCAGTCAACATGTTGCTCAGCAGTAACTGGCAGCACTTTCTGTCTATAGTATAAAATATCTTAAAAGGAGAACTTACTGTCACCTTCGGAATCAAGAGCCATTTGACTCTGAAGATGACTTTCACTCGGGCTGTCAGATAACTCATCAGCAACAATGTCAATAACAGGCCTTTTCAGGACTACCCTGACTCAGGCAACCATGTTAGACCAACCTATGATACTACTGTGAGGCTGTCATTAAGGGCTGGTAGTCAATCTCGTTTCTAGAGTCTTTGTTTCCCTTGACTAGTGGTCGGAAAATGAGAGCTCTGGGAGCAACCATTTCAGGTGTGCGCTATAGACGCAGACTACACAGTGAAATCGGATGGGCAGAATTCAGTTATTCAAAATGGTTGCTCGCAGAGCTCTCATTTTCCGACTGCTGGTCAAGGGCAACGAAGACTCTGGGAACGAGATTGGCTGGTAGTCAGATAAAACTGCTGGCTATAAAGTTATTCATGGTCAGCCCGCTACTTCTGATGATAAATGATGTCGTTATTATAATACCATTGAAAAAAAAACCTTTAATGTATCCCTTACACAGTTGTGGGTCAAAGTCAGTGCATATTTAGACATGCAGAATGATTCCACATCAATGTTAGCTTCAAGGTTTGTGAGCAAAGTTTGAGATTGTCATACACATTACCCTGATTAGTTCCCTTGCATAGTGTCTTTGCTGAAAATTCTCTCTGACTCGGTCAAGAAATACCTCTTGATTCCTTAAGACATTTTTTAAAATCTTTTATAGGACTTGATTGTAATAAAGGATGCTTTCGACATCTTACTTCCAAAGGTAACCAAGATACTCTTGTGTGCAATTTAATTGCACACTGCTTCAATACTAAGTTTATTTCTTCCAGGTTTGGGATTCTCCTTACTGTATTTGTTTAATTCACTGTATTTATGAAGGAGAAAATAGATTATAATCAGGGAAAACTGAGTTTAATTGTTGCTATTCTGAGATCATTTCACTATCTGGTATTGAATAAATATTGTTATTAAATATTGTACACATTACCATAAATCGAAGACAGTGCATTATTTGGTATAATGGCACCTTCTGTGGTTGGTATGACAAGTGACTGGCACTTCATATACTGAAGAGTCTTGGTACGTCCCTTTTTATGTAGGCTTTGTTAAGCTTCACTTATCTTCTCAGTGCATTGTATAGTAGTACTAGATAAGACTTATCATTATTGGCAGGTTAATTTTTAACTTGGCATGTGACCTTAAGCCTCCTTACAAGTCTTGATAGTATTTGCTATTTACACAAGAGTATTGGCATACATTATCTGACTTTAAACATCCAAGTTAATATTGGTTGGCACACTAACACAGAACTAAGTGGCAAACATAGCCAAAAGCATGACAGTAGTCACTTCCAGTCTAAGACTAACTAAATAACAAGGAACGTCTCCCAGGTTTATCTGCTGTTAGTTGCAACACAAGCATCCCCATATTTGTGTTATGAAGGCCTGCCACGTGGATGGCAAAAACAATTGAGTATATACATGTATTTTGTGGCACAACAGTTTACTTTTATTTGTTTTTTCCCAATTGTGGTCAGTACAAGACGCTGCGTATTAATGGTTACCTTTGTGTTTCTTTTGCTCTATCAATACAAATTTGTTTTTACTTGAAGCTTGCTAGGTGTATAGAAAGGCTGTCAGGCTTTGCAGAGAAGTACAAGTCAATTCCCACTCTTGGCTACACACATTTTCAGTAAGTGAAATTCTCAAGCAGAAGTTTTATGTTAGACTTTGAGATTGCAAATCTTACCAATAGTTTGGCTAGGAATCCGAATGCTTGTAGTGGGTCATAGAGCTGTGGCCTTTCAAGTGCATTGTATGAGCCTATCTATTGGATTTTCTAATGACATTTAGAGTCCCATTGTCTCTTGTTTTTCAAACATACAATGTTAGAATATTATGAAAATATTAAATATTCAGAAGTATTAAAATTTGTTAAACATAGTGTTAAAATATTTGTACATAATGATCATTTATGGCCTGGGAATGATATGTGTGAGGGCCTAAATTACATTTATTTTTGTAGAACATAATTCTGTAAAACAGTTGAATTTAATGAATTCAAAATATAATTTGACAAAACTGTGGCTTGTTATGTCTTTTTTATTTGTACTGAGTATTAGCATTGTACGTAGTCTATAAGAATGTGAGAGATATTTGTGTTCAATCATGTTTGTCTCTCCATGTTTGTACAATCCTCATGTGAAGTATGGAACTGATCATGTTACCTCTTCTCTACAGACCTGCTCAGTTGACTACAGTAGGAAAGAGAACTTGCCTGTGGCTGTCAGATCTCCTTATGGACTTAAGAAACCTTACTAGAGCTCGGCATGATCTACGATTCAGAGGAGTGAAAGGCACAACTGGTACCCAGGCTAGTTTCCTTAGTCTTTTTGATGGAGATCACGAAAAGGTAACTATTACATTGCCTTATTTGTACTTCAATAACTTAACAGTGGTTTGTTTTGACTCTAGGGACATGTGAGGTTTCCTGTTTTAACAGTCTACTAGGTTTGTAGCTTGGCTGACATAGTTGTGTTTGGGATCTTTTCTTTGGGGGCAAGGCACTTAACTCTCACAGTTCCCATCTGCACCCAGCTGTAGAAATGGTTACCAGCAAATTTAATGCTGGGAGGTAACCCTGTGGTTGGGCAGCATCCCACCAGGGGAGAGGGAGTGGAAATACATATACTCCTAGCTGCTGTCAGAATGTCACTGAAATCAGGATGGGTTCTGGCAAGATAGTCTTTCCCTTTTCTCTAGGTATATGGAGCCAGGGTTGGCTGTTTTTGTGGTTAACTCAACTCGGCTTCTTTGTTGCGCACTATTTAAAGTGTCAACATTGTGCACTATTTACAGTGTTTACACTATTTACAGTGTTGAACTCTGAGCATCTACTGTAAATGGCCAGTTACAACTTTTTTCCCTGTCTTCTTGTTATGTAGGTGGAAAGACTGGACCAACTTGTTACAGAAATGGCTGGTTTTCAAAGCCATTACATTGTCACAGGACAAACATACACCCGCAAAGTAGACCTGGACTGTCTTTCAGCTCTTGGCAGCCTTGGGGCTTCTGTGCATAAGGTTATGTTAATATCAGTTAAGCAGATCTTATTATATAAGATCTGCTTTAATCTTTAGATTGGTGGTTAAGTGGTTATAGTAATATTTTGATCTTGGTATTCAAGCCTAGCCCTTGTATTTTTGACAGCAAAGCACTATTGCATGTGCTTGCACAGCATCTCTCCTTCACGCTGTTGAGCCCTCTATAGTGCTTGTTTTGTATTCATGTCATGTAATTTTATTATGGTTACACTAATAAAAAATATGCAAGCACTGTAGAGTAATATTATAACTCCACAGTGCTTGCACTTTATTTTTTTAATGTTGTTATATGTTCAGATTTTGTATCATGCAAATTCACTGACAGATTTTTCTCCATTTCTAGATATGTACAGATATCAGGCTTTTAGCCAATCAAAAAGAAATTGAAGAACCCTTTGAGAAAGATCAAATAGGCAAGTACCATGTAGACCATAGTTATTTACTGAGCTAAATCAGTCTGAGAAGATTTTATCTATGTAGTGCAAAATGAGGAGTTCAGCTTGAAAATGAGAGTTTAACCTTGCATACTGGGGAAAGACACCCATGGATATATAGGTAACAGAATCTCGCTTTGTGGGTGCAGGTCAAACTAAGCTGTACCAATTACATGTAAGAGGTAAGCAGTTAAGGGGGTGTTTTTGAACTCAATTTCCCAAAAGTTCATTTTCCCATTTTGTAGGAATGGAAAAAAAAAAAGAAACCAAAAGAAAAAAACAGAAAGAAAATAAAACAATTAAAACAATGAAAAATAAATAAAAGGAACATGGGAATGTATGGGACTAGACATTGGAAAGGTTAATTAATTCAAGATGGTGAGAGTGAAAGGATTGATTCATGATGAATGGGTGGAGCGTGTTTTGACGCCTTCAAATATGTCCAAACTAACTTGAGATGAAGGCCTAGCCCTCTTCCATCAGGCATTGCAGTGCAATTTACAATTTACAATATGTCAAAACGTACTAAGATGTTGAATGATTTACTGTACAAAATAAGGTACGTGATTTAAGTATAATGAGTTATTGCTATCCAGACATTCATGTCAAAACCATCGCGGAGGACTCAAGCACTTGTTAGTACACCAATGGCTTACGAGATAAATTGCAACATGGGCGGGCAACAGCAGTTACAGAAGCAACAACATGTTGAAACGGAAAAAGAGAAAGTGTAGCTGAATTTACTGAAAGCCCAAACTATTCCCTGGGCCTGATGTCCCACGTCCAAACTTCCAACAGGGCAAACGAAGCGGTCAGGGCTTCAGTGATGCAGCATCTCGGTCGTATCATGGGCGATGTTCGGAAAGGCTTTGAGAGGTTCCGCGATTTTTGTACAATCATTCGACAAGCCCCATTTACCGTCCCACCTCGTCCGTGTAGAATACAAGTTTACTGACACCCAATTACGAAATCACTTGGCACTAATGTGAAAAGTTGATCCAACTACTGGAGACAAATGTTGAGTGCTGCTTTATTTGGATAGGGAAATTTCCCAAAGTAAACCGAAGAAGACTGACAAGTCCAGACAGTCGTAGAAGAGGCGGCTACCCCAAACCGAAGACGCGAGAGTCATCAGTATTAGCTTGCAAACACCGTGAGTGTGGGCATGCCCGTTCCCAGAGACTGCGATCCCAACATGCTTTAGAAACTATACTTGGAACATTCAGACCATTATATCACTTTAGAAACCACTATGCAGGAGGGTGGGTAAAAGGTCACATCTAGTGAGCGTTTGACCAAACGATGACACAAACTAAAATAATTGACATCTTGAAAGTCGATTTTATGGTAGAGTTTCCAAAAAGAAGAATCAATATCGTATTCTCGTTTTCTGTGGAGTTATAGAATAGAACACTCGTTAAAGTTTGCGCAAACTCGAAAAGGCTTTAGAAATACTTATCTGCGGTTCGTGATTGGGTAAATTCTAACCTAACCCAACCCTTCTCATGTCATGTCATGTCAAGTCATGTCATGTCATGTCCAATCGTGTCGTGTCGTGTAGTGTCGTATCGTGTCATGTCATGTGTCATGTCACGTCATGTCATCTACAGGATTTTTCAGTATTCACTCAGTTATCAAAATGTACGATGTGTAAAGTATCCAAACTTGTTTAAAGTAGGGAAAATCACGTGTCAATAAAAAAGCGCAATACCACGAAATGACGTCACACATTTTGAAATGTTCGCCATCTTTGATTTCCGCAATTTTTTCAAATAATAGGACAGTTCCAAAATTTATTTTAAAAGTTAAAAAAATATGAGGATACAAGGATACAGAAAATGTAAAGAATTTGGAATGTACTCGTCATAAAATACATACTTTTCATTAAAACAGAACCTTAAGCTTTACAAAAGTCCACACTACGTACGCTGGAGAAATTTGAAAACGCAGCTTTATTTCTAGGGTTAGGCCTACCGTCCACACTAATCCGCCTCGAAAACGGAGCTTTTCGAAAACGTTCTTCAAACCGGAGGAAATTGAAAACGCCGGCTTTACGTTTTAGTGTGGCCGGAAAACATTTTGAAACTGGCTCGAGTAATCCAAAGTCACCGGTGCGGTGATCGATGCGTTTTTCAACTTATCCGGCGTAGTGTGGACGGAAAACATTTGATGCGTTTTCAGAGTGAAAACACTTTTCCGAATTTCTCTGGCGTAGTGTAGACTAAGAAAACTAAAGAAAAAGACTAAAAGACGAAAAAGACTAAAAAGACCAAGAAAAGATTGAACTCACCCTTGGCACAAACTTTATAGGAGTGATAAGAAAGTTCACGGGTGCACATTTCCTTGTTATCGCGAATTGCTTCCTGGGTAATTGTACTCGGTATATTAATATGAAACTTTTGTCTTATTTCTCTGCAAATTGCTCTGTCATTGATCGGTTGAAACATAACTATGGTAGAAAGAACTTAAGGTGTGCGCTAAGCGCCTGCTTTGTTTGCTATGTGTACAGTTGAGAACTAGTCTTGAGAATCGAAATTTCACATCCTGCGCTGGCGTAAACCTCACGCGTAAACCTTTTTAACGTTTTTACGGACAAGTCTTTAAATTTTTCTTTCGTTTACTTACCTCTTTCGTCGTAATTTAACTTTAGCAAGAGCTTTTTCGGAAATATTTTTCGTTGCCCCTGGACAAGTTCTTTAGATTGCCGAAAACTCCGCAGACAGGAATGCGAAAGGTCGTCAAACGAATTTGTCGTCCACTAAGTAGATTATTACGTCATAATTGAACTTGAATGAAGTAAACAGTTAAAGCGCGCGCGAATAATGATGCCATCATATTATTGGTAGAATCTTTCTCCAGTTTTTTACCTCTTCCTTGCCCATTTCTCATTTATTACTGATATCCTACGTTTTGCGAGGAATCATGGCACGTTCTCTGTTTGAAACTAGAAACACTATATCAGGATCGATTGCGGGATTCATGTTTATTAGAGTTCTTATCAATGCGGAAATAAGTTATATTGTCAGCTTGTGGCTGCCTTAAAAGTGAATGTTATTTTACTGACCTTAGTCATCGTCAGCGTTTGTTTTTCGTAACCAATCAAAGGACTCGCTCGCGTATAGAGGTTCTATCTTATGGAACACTGTTAGTTTTAATGAACATGGAGTTTCACAGCTAAAGCAGAGGAAACTGAAACGATTGAAAACAAAATGTTATTTTAAAGATTTTAAATTCAACGTAGTGTCCGCCTCAAATGTGCGGCATCGTGATGACAATTTTATTTATATTTGAACGTTTTATAACGTGTAAATATTGTAAATATAGATCAGGTTCTTATAAGGTCAGTAGTTTCTAAATTTTTACTTATTATCACGTTGTTATTAGGTCTTTCTTTTATTTTATACACGACCCCACAAGCTTTTAGCTTTGAAACTCATCGTGTTGAAATAAAGGCTTCCTATCCTAACCTATCCTACAGATTTCCCAGCATGCCCACTTCCCCGATCTCTTTCAACCAAATCCGCCGCATACCTCTGTACTTGGTTACAGATACTCGTCTAACGCCCACTGTCACCTTTTTTCACTTCCATACATTCCCAGACGTTCCTTTATTTTTTTTTATTGATTTATTGATTATTTATTTCATAAATGAACTTCTAGTAAACTACTGAGGTACCTATTGAATTCTTTCTGACAAGAGTTCATGTCGGATTAATACCCTTAGGAGGTACCTGAGTAACTTTGATAGTGTTCATTTTAGATTTAAACACTGTCTTCCCTCCATGCCTTGTACCTCGTGTCCATTTTCCCTTGCATGACTTTTTTAATTGCTCTTTTATTAATGTATTTTTTTGTGTGTGTGTTCAAGGATCAAGTGCAATGCCATACAAGCGTAATCCAATGAGAAGTGAAAGATGCTGCAGTCTTGCCCGCCATTTAATGGTGCTTGTAGGTGATGCACAGCAGACCGCCGCAACACAGTGGCTGGAAAGGACACTGGACGACAGTGCTAACAGGTGATGTACAAGACCTAATAATAAAACGAAAAATTTGAAAACATATGAACGTGGGCGAGACTTAGTTCATCGCACTGAACAACTTGTGAAGGAACCGTGGTTTAATTAACAGCGCGCTTGCTGGACTCGAGATTGAGAGCTCTGATTAAGGGACCTCTAAGGTTGTTGCCGGTTTCGGTAACGAGTGTTACAGCAAATATAAAACATTAATTAGCCGCTTTCTTATGGTCAGTCTTATTCGGTCCATGAACTTTGTTTTCTGGATATTGAAACTAAAGGTTGGGGAAAGGACAGGAATTTTTTTTTACTTCTTCCAGGGTGGCAACCACGTCACACGAAACTGAAATTTATGTACAGAATGAGCTGTTGGACTAGCAAACTTACTTCTTGATCAGTGCTTGAATTTCGTTAAGGCACAGAAAAGTATTTTGCAAAAGGAAATTCGTTTAGATTAGGGGTTCGCCCCAGTCCCTGATAGATAGATAATCTTTATTTAAACACGGTTTAAATAACCTCGGACCTCCCTTGAGGTCCGAGGGAGGTCGTACTGTGACCTTGCAGAAACATTATGGTGCCAATTACACTTCTGGGCGGAGGTATAACTAGTAGAAATCGAAACATGTAAATAATCACTGAGAAATCTCTGTTTTGCAGGAGAATAAGCTTGGCAGAAGCTTTCCTTACAGCTGACATTATACTTAGCACTTTACAGAACGTTTCAGAAGGTTTGGTGGTTTATCCTAAGGTAAGAACAAACATTCTTCAAAACTGAATCGTAATTTATGAACGGAAGGCATTTACATCGAGAGGTAAACGAGATACATAAGAAAAGCCTCGCTCTAAAGTGACGAGAACTCTCGCGTGTTCGTGATAATTTGTGATTCGGTCAGAAAAACCGCATGCTCTTAACGCAACCTCGTATCTGGAGTCTTCGTTTCCCTTTACCAGCGGTCGGGAAACGAGCGATCCCGGAAAGATCTGATTAAAGTCCGAAATATCAGACTTCAGGTGGAACTGCGCATGCCTGGCTGACAGACACGTGGGTTATTCGTGACACTGGTGTTCTACTTTCGCTTATATCCATTGTTTTTAAAACCAGTTAAAATCGAGCCTGTAACGAAACTTTCGAGAGTCGCTCGTTTCGTCAAGCTTGCACAGTAAAGAACGAAGACTCGAGGAACGAGATTGGCTCCTAAAGCTACTACGTTTGTTTTCATCTAACGCCCAACATTTGCGACTGATGAAAGGCTTTTTCCCGAAAGGTCTTTGAAAAACACCACACATAAGCACTTTTTGTAAACTTTATTCAGCTGCTGTTCATTTAACACTCGACCGACTGGACTCGAATAACCAGACGTCTTTGAATGATACGTCGCCGATGGAACAATTGAGAGTGTATCAGTTTTTGTCGTTCGTAATCTTTCACGATCGTTCCTGATATTACTCATTCTTGCTTCCGTTTTACGTACACAAGAGTTTTTGTTCCCTTTTAGTTTACTTTTGCTTATTTATGTTTTTTTTTCTGTGGTAATATAATGTGCGGTGCATTTGGTGACTTGGTTTATGACATTGCTCATTCAAAAACGATCGAAGTGTTTTTCTTACTCAAAACTTGAGGCAAACACATGTAGCTGACGGGAGGCGCGGGAAAACGTGCGCCAACGAGTTAAGATTAGTTCTGGTCTGACTTCTGATTGGATGACAAAATGGCGCGCGTTTTTTAAACCAACTGTGTAGCGTAGTGTGGCGCAAAACTGAAGTAAATGCGAATGACTTTCGAGACTCAAGTTAAAACCGTTTTAAGTAAACATTAATTGATTGTTAATTACCTTTTATTGTGAATGGCATTTGAAACGTGCTATGTTTTGATTATTCAATTTTTAGACAACCAAGGAAACAGGCAAACGAAACAGACAAATGGGCAACGCAGCAAACAGCGCACTGAACCTTTTTTAACCATCTCTTGTGGTTTCTTTGCTCTGCAGGTTATTGACCGCCACATTCGTCAGGAGTTACCGTTTATGGCGTCTGAAAACATTATAATGGCAATGGTGAAGGCCGGTGGAAATAGACAGGTATGTTTATGCAATCGTGATCGTAACGTGCAGGGTTGCGCAGAGAGCAGGGCGGATGGCGACTCCTGCACGGCAATGTAAGCCTGGCCTTCCCTGGTCCTTCCGCTCGCAGATCCAGACCAACATGTCTTTGAATAGTCAGCTAATAAACGGCTTCCTTTTTGGCTGGTCTAGCATAGGTTTGGCGGGTTGCAGGATGCAGGAGGATGAGAGTTAAAATAGAGTCGGGATGCGATGCGATATTGGCGGGATGGGGGATAAGAATACTCCAGCATAAGTGGGATTTGCTCATTTTAACAGGCAGAATGCGGGATAGTTGTAAAATTGACGGACGGCTGCGGGATGGAAAACAAAAAAATAATACGTTATGGACGTTACGCGGAGAACTGCAATTCTAACAACGCGGAATCGGGATAAATATCCTGAGTGGAATGGGATGGCGGGATTAAGCCAAAAATAGTGGCGAGATGTGGGATTAAAAAAGGCCATTTTAGACCCTCTTGCTTAGGCCTAATACGCGCTCTTGTTGTTTCTTGACCATTGTTGTTGTTTTTTGAAGTTGCTAGCTCGTGATGCACTAAGACAATCAAGAATAATTTTTCCTTCTCATGTTTTTCAATTTTACATCTGACAGGATTGTCACGAGAAGATCCGCGTTCTGTCCCAGGAATCTGGAGCGGTTGTCAAGGAGCAGGGTGGAGATAACGATTTGGTTGAAAGGATCAAGAACTGTGAGTACTTTGCTCCAATTCACAGTCAGTTAGACGCCATCTTGGATGCCAGCACATTCACAGGACGAGCACCACAGCAGGTAACTAAGGGTTTGCTTTAATGGGGGAGGAGTGAGGAGCACGAAGACTCAAGCTTAAGGTTAATGGTGACTGGCTAGACCCAATTGCACCAAACTAACGCCCTGTTTTATTGGTCCCACCACAGGTGTCCAAATTCATTATGGCTGATGGTGATTGGCCAGACCCAATTGAACCAATCTAACGCCCTCTTTTGTCGGTCCCACTAGATGTGTTCAAAATTCATTAAGGCTGATGGTGATTGGCTAGAACCAATTGTTCCAATCTAACGCCCTGTTTTATTGGTCCCACTATAGGTGTCCAAATTCATTAAGGACGAAGTCCAGCCTGCATTAGATCCCTTCAAATCAGAACTGGGCAGCAAGTCTTCCATTGATGTATAGGATTTTCAATTGCCTAGGTACTATAATGTAGCTTGTAGCTTGCCATTTTTAGTAAGAGAATAGTTTATAAAGTGTATGATGTAGCTGAAATGGCGGGAAACCAACTGGTGGGAAATGCGTTGGTGTAGTATTATTTAGCTCTATTTAGCTTTATTACTTTTGCCAGTTGATGTCAAACTGGTGGCAAATTGCTAGGAACTAGTAGTATATGGAAAGTGTTACAAAATTCGTTCGTGTGGAACTGTTCAATGGAAAGTTCGTGGAAAGGTTTCCTATAAAGGCCATGGTTTAAACTCTCTCCTTAATATTGCAAAACAACTAGAAGCTTGAAAAGATGCCCAAACGCAAAATCTTAGGTTTAATTTCTCCCATCTGTTTTAGAAGGTGCTCCAAAATATATTTGTTGAGTTTACATGTGTTTTGGAGAGCTGTAATGCTACTGATTCTTGGTACCTGTTTCTAGATTACGCTTGTAGCGCTAGTTGAGAAATTGTGAGAGGTTTGTATTCAATAGTAATTTCTCTTCGGTGATCAATTTGTTTATTTCCTCGACATGCATGCTTGGTCCTGTATGGATATCTCGGGAGAAATTAATTTCTGATCATCTCTTGTAAGCTTTTGTCGTTATCTCACCGAGTAGACTGACACGCTAATTCTTCTGTTAACACTCTTAAGTTTATTTTATTGCTTTACATTACAAGCTTTGATTTTGTTATTTAAAATGTAAAGGAATGTTGTACAAACAAAAAATATTCTGTGGCAGTCATTTTTAAAATAAATGCATAATAGCGTCATTATGATTTCGCGAAGCTCAAAGCATAACTGCGTGAAATTTCAAAGTAATGCGAGTCATCACTTCTGAACGTCGGAGTTCCTGTTATTGTTCCACCTTGCTAAATCCTTACAACTAAGTATACTGTAATTTAGGTACATTTTTCTGCTCAAAATTATGATGAAATGAAAGACATTGTTTCTTTAATTCTCCTTTCATTCGAGTATACTTCCTCGAGTTTCTTTTTAGCGTCAAATCCTCGCTTATACAACCAGGAATTAGCTGACGAGGTGAATGAATTAACTGACGAGGTGAAGAAATTAACAGTTAGCGGTAGAAGCCACCACTCCTTTGAGATCTTAATTCCGTGGGTGTTTATAAGCGAGAGTCAACGGTATATGCGGTAAATTAATTGGTTATGTTGCTTGGATTCAGTTGCTGTAGTTTCCGTACCTTTTGGTAGAAAAAGGTTGGTTTTGGTTGTACACTACACACATACAGTGTATAATAACAAATAGTAACAGAATAACTGTTGCACTTTCCGTGGAAATCAGTTGGTTTCAGAAACCCCGGTTTTATAACGTGTTACTTCTTAAAAGAAAGCAACTAAAGAAATATAAAATGGTACAAATTGATGTCCCTTTTCAGAGAACGTTCAAGACAAATGATCATGAACAGCGAGAAAACACGTCATGTCGACCTAGCAAGCTATGAATTACATTAAAAAGGGTTATGTAACATTTATTTACAGAATTTCAGTTGCAGAAATAAAGCTTTTAAAAAACGTTACCCATAGAAAGTATGGCCCCAACTTAGACGCCCTTGATTAAAACATTTCAAATCAGAGTGTAGTATCAACATAATAAGAAAGAATCTCTCACTCATACTTTTAGTAGGCCCTTCCTCGAAGAATACGTTAAGCGAATATTAACAACAGTAACGATTGTAACCGAAAGGCAATTTTTATACTTGATTGGCATCTTCCAGGCCACGCCCCTGTGTACCAAAACTTTTTATTGCAAACGAACAGTAAGCGCAGAAACTCAACTGATCATCGTTTCTTTAAGCTGGTTTTTACTAGTGCATAAGCATGAGCATAAGCCGACACACACTGACGCAGTAAGATGTTGATAATTAACGCCTTTTGCTTGGAAAATCTCCTAACAAAAAGGTGCTACTTAACAGAGCTACGTCACGGTTTGTGCCTAAATTATTCAAATTCGCCGTTTTTAATCCGTGTTAATCTTCTCCATCCTTCACCATCCCTGTTCCTTTATGGTTGATTATTATCTCTTTGGTGTTTTTCTATCTTAGTAAACTATTATGTATTTTCAGGTTTCCTTCAATGTAAAGGTGAGTTTGAAACTGGCCAAAATAACTCAAAATACCGTGACTAAGCTCCTTACTGCTCCCACTGCGCCTGCGTGCGTTGCATATGTTTTATGCCTATGCTTTGTGGTGCACGTGATGTTTCTGATGTTTCTCTGCCTACTAAACAGATATTTTCCAAGTTCTCAGTCATATTGCAGCGAATGACTCGCACGTTTGTCAAAGATTCAGAAGATAGGCAACTAATTTTCTTCACGATTTTTCTTCTGTTGAAAGATATGAAACATTCCCATATTGTTTCAACTTGGTAGCCAACTGCTTGAATTGTTTGAACCAAAAAGAACTTCTTAGCACTTTTCTCTTTCAAGCAATAGACCATTTTACAGTTGTTTGAAACGTAACCTAGCCTCTGCATGAAAGCGAGGTTTAGCATAGAACAGAACAATATATATTTGAAAAGTAACGAGGTTTTTATCATGGCAAAGTCAACTCTAGCCTCGTTTCTGTTCAAAGGCCTGACCACTGAGCACAAAACTTTAAAATGAGCTATTCGGAATGTTGTGTAGCATTTAAAAAATTTGTGTGACATAACCCCCTTTTTAATGTGACAACTCAAAAACGAGTGAACTTTTAAAAAAATTAAATTGTAAGTCATGTACGTGTATCTTCCTTTGTAAGGTCCTCTTCAGGGATGCACATGTTAGCTTCCGGGGCCTCTCTGTCACACTTGAAGAACTCTACAAACTCCTCCCACGAGAGCTGACCATCTGCATTTTTGTCAAACATGCTGATGAGTTCTTCCGCTTCCTCTCGGCTCAACTTCTCGCCACTGTTGCACACCACATACAGAAGTTCATCCGGGGATATGTAGCCGTTGCCATCACGGTCGAATTTCCTGTGAAATGACACAAGTCGATGATTAGTCTTGTTCCCAGGCCCTTACTGAAGGGAATGGGGCAAGGCTCTTAGTTGGAATTTAATAGGCCATTTGCACGATCTGGTTGCATGGTACGGAATTAATTATGCTTGGACGCAAGTTACACAGTGGGACTTCCAAAACAAAGGAACTCGTACCAGTCCAGCCCGACTTTCCTTTGTTTTGAAAGTCCCACTGGGTAACTTGCTTTCCAGCCTAATTAATTCCGTACCATGTGACTAGACTATTCACAGCCCTTTATTTTCTCGTATTTTTATTTGATCGTACTCGGGGATAGAATCACGAGATAACTGGACGCCAGCGCAAAACGGAAGACAAAATAAAAAAATCTCTATTCTTCTTGCTCGCTTCGCTCGCTCTTTCTTTCGCGTGCGTAAATAGAGAGGCTGTGAAAAGTCTGCATGTGACCAGATCGTGCAAAGGGCCTATTAATCGTCATGTGGACCGGGGTAATATGGCCACAATGTTTTTTTTCTCTGTCTAGATTCGCCACGAGGTTAGGCTTCTTGTTTTAGTCTCTCGAAATTGAAGTGCCTACAGCTGCTAGTAACATTATTCGGAGCCTTAAAATTGTACACGGGTCATTTTTTGCCCAATTTTTGTCATTATTTAAAGTACAATTCGTCATTACGGGCCGACTTCACAGTCCCGAGTTTTTAGCTGATCTCAATGAGAGCGGAGAAGACGATTCTAATCAGCTTAAGAAACACTTTGTATATTTTTGGTCGGCAGTTTTTTTCTCGAAGTCTACCATTTTTAAGGAAATTGAAAGGATGTTGAATATTTTGAAAGGGCTTCTCCATCCGTTAGGTCCGTTAGGGAAACAATTCGCCTTGCCGGACAATTAACACCAGTGTGTCGGAAAACGGTAAATTAAAGCAACCTCTATCTGGACGGTAATCATAGTTCCTTGTATAAGTACAGTCTTCTTTGCAATTATGAAAACGTTTTACCTAATAACGTTCAAGGAAAATTTTTAAAAACATGCCGATAACCTACTCATGGTTACAATTTGGTCAAGAACGTATATTTGTGATAATTAATAGGCGAGGCGTTTTCTGATAGCGACCTACTCACATACAGGCGTTATGCGACTGTATTTCGGAGAGGTTTATTGTTGTAACACCTTGATTCACGTTTTGATAATATAAGGATATTTTCCAGACTAAAAAGGAGTGAAAAATGCCTGGGAATCTAATTTCAACGACCACCAGGGAGCCGATTCTGTCGTCTCCTAATGCATATCCTAGAATTTGTTAATGAAATCCGAAATTCTTATCACCCGTCTTATTTACAGTGCACTGTTATGGTAACGAGTATTTAGACAATGGGATATTTGCGACTTTTATAATATAAGGTAAATATTATTGTAAGCTGTTTTAATTAGTTGCGCTCCGGATTTGTGTGTATATCCTGCAGGTAATCGCGGAAAATGAAAAAAAAAATCTATAGCAGAACCCTAAAATAGCGATATCCTTCATGGCTGTCACTATATTTAAACGCGCAAGTTATGAATAGCGCTGCAAATGTTCCATGACCGGCGGAAATGATCTTGAAACTGGAAATTATCTTAAAAGAAAAAAAGAAAACGGGTTAAGGCTTTGAGTTTGGAGTCTCAAATTTCTTTATTATTTACTCGAGATTTTTCTCAAATTTATGACGATCGACTTGTGTATACTTTTCGGAATTTGTCTTAAGTTCTTTCGCAGATAATGCTGCTCAATTAACACGTTCGATATTCACAATTCAAAGCGATTCGAAAGCAGGTGCGAATTCCCTGCAGAACCTTGCAGCGAAACACAGATAAACAGCACTTTGCATAATCTGTAGCTTTCGTGCTTATTTTATGAATGATTGGAAACTAACTTTCTTACTGAAAATGTGTTCTCGTGTCGAGAGCTGAGTAACAGCGGCACTGCAGTTTTGCTCTTTTCATGTAAACAGAGTTCCAACCGCTTAAAGCTATTTTTAGCTTGCGCACACTGCCTTCTGTACTGCCGGAAAAATAAAATATCGATGGAGCTTTGTCGAGCTTGGCACAAGCTAAAATGTGTGGTACTGTTTGTTTCTTGAAAAGGAATTCTATATGAACCAGGTGAAGTTATAGAAGCGTCTTGCTTTTCGGATGTGTATGTTGGTTTTGCAGAAACGTTATTTATATATAACTTAAATATATTTATATTTTCCCGTTTTGTGTGAATTTGCTAGTAAAAAATAGAAGTGTTAACCACGGGTCACCACTGGATTCAAACTAAAGCCTCCAAAATTACCAAATTTTCGACAAGCCAGCGACTAGAGTGTTTTAATTTATTTTTTTCTCATTTGTTGTCATTTTTAGACAAAAAAGAGTGGAACGAATTATGTAATTTGTTGCGACGCTCGCAGAGGAGGTTAATGTGCTTATTCTAAAAAAACCCATCTGTCAAGTTACTTGGCAGGTGGATCCAATGCAAACGAGGCCGAAAAGCTGTGTTTATTTATCGTTGAGCTTTTCTAGTTGTCAAGCAGTACCGTTGTCACACAAGCTACTGCTAAAAACTAAGCTCGAGGCAAATTCGCGACGAAGGCACTAGCTAACGTAAAGGCAGTTTTGTTTCCTTTTTCACCTTTGCGTGAATTTTCCTAAGTTGTCGTTGACATGTTGCAAAGATAAATTAGTTATCTTAAAAGAGGACTGAAAAAAAAAAAAAGAATATTGCAATCAAATGCAGCTCGCACGTGCATACATTTTAATTTATATTTTCGGTTGAAATATATATTTTTTAATACCCGAACTCCTAAATATTATGTCCTGACTTAGAAATTCAACTAGAAAGGTCAATTAAGCGACTTCCTCCCCAAAAGGACAGAGATAGCATCTGGAGAAGAAAAACCCCTCAGCTTTATTTATTTCACCATTTAGTTATAATATCTAGATTTTTTCCTATCTGTATATTTTAGACGGCTAATGCTGCTGGTGGGAAATGAATCTCGTAACAGCTTGCGATAACTTCGGTATCGCCCACCGTTTTAAAGGGCAAATGAGCTAAAGTTGAATCCATGATTTAGGGCCAACAATGAGCCAATATTTGTCGGAAGGTTCGTTCGTGATGAAGGTTTTTCATTAGACAAATTTAAGCGCTAGCTAATTTAAGCTGAATCATGTTGAGTCAGACGTGTCCGAAACCAGACACGAAGAGCTAACTGCAAGCGCTGAAGTGCACAAGACAAAACACTGAGTAGAAATTACCCACTCCGTCGTATCGTATTTTTAAAGTACCTCCAAGCTAAGTGTAAAGGCTGATGTATTATTTTTATTTTTCTTCGAAAGCTGACTTTTGAGTAGTCTTGCTGCTTAAAATCAAAGGATGGCCAATTCGACCATTGGTAGATTTTACGGTTGTGTTTAATAATCCGCAGAGAAAATATATTCACAATCATGGGGCGTTAGTGCAGTGCTGATTTTCAACACAGTTTTTTTTTTACGGAAATAAAAGGCTAAATCCGCTTGCAAACATACATTAAAAAACATTTGGAAACCCTACAGTTAAAAAAATATTCATACTCACTTGAAAGCCTCGCGAAGAGATTCTTCGGCATCGTCCTTGGTGCTTGCGTCAAACTTTGCTAACATGTCAGCAAATTCTTCAAAATTAATTTTATCTTTTTCGCCCTTGTTGGCAGCTTTAAGAACATCCTCCACTTGACTGTTGGTCGGGTTGTAGCCTAGAGAGCGAACCGCCGTTGGAAAGTCGTCGCTGTCGATTTCTCCCGTCTGGTCGCGGTCAAACACGGTGAACGCTTGCTTGAAAGACATCTGTTTCACGTCTGCGGCGGCCATTTCTCGATGAAGGTCTCGCTTTATCTGTGCTGCGTTCAACTGCACGAGAGAGGCACGAAAAGGTTATCGATTCAGCTGGTCCTCAGATCTTTTAGTTGTTTTTTTTCGCGTCTGACAACATTTACAATACATAATTTCACTCCTGAAAAGCGCGCATGTTGATTGGCTCAGAGCAACTCACGAGTCGGGCGCCAAACGTGGTCCGATAACACAGCAGTAAATGACGGGGCATCCGCTTCTTGGGATCAAATGGCTGTTTGCATTTGCAGTTTCACTCCATAAAATGCTAAAAATACTTTGATTGTCAGCTGTGACAGTCCGACGAGAAGTAATTTGTTTAATTTTATACACTTCAACAGGCCTTAATTTATTCGCATCGGACCCAAATTGCTCGTTTTGGTGTTCGCATTGTACTAGCGTGTGATTTGTTTTATACCATATTTTCAATTTAGACCAATTGCGGCACTAATAAATTAATCGATCAGGGTTGAAATTTCTAAATGAAATTGGCAGTTCCAACTCAATTTGGTAATACCTTAGAAGGCCCTTCGTGTTTTTAGCGGCTGCTAATGGTTGAACCTGTTTTTGCCAGTCACAACAAGACATAACAGCGACACCGAAAAGAGAAAAGCAACAGAAAAAAAAGTCGAACTCTTCTAAAGCCGAACTTTCATCTAGCCGCCGAATTGGCACTTTCTTATAATAGTTAATGTTCTCTGTGCTTCATTAAAGGGATAATTTTACAGTTCGCCATTAATTTAACAGGACGGATCTTGCCATCTGCTTGACAGCGTAACCAAGCTATTTTTGGAAAGAAAAGCTCAGTTACGGAAGAAGACGGAATTAATAAGTTTTTTCGTGGGTAACATTACTCATAACTGTTTTACAAAATATTTTCAGCGTTTTACTTTGGATTAATATGCCTTCTTCCTTTTAATCAGCATATCTCACACAATTAATATTGACAAAATCTCGCACAGTTCACGTCTTTCTGGTTTCCTCGACATACAAAAGATAGTGTTCGAGTTAAAATATTAAGTAAACATGTCTATTTTTGTGTTAAGCGAATAAATAATTAATTACGTTTATTTGCCTTTGGGGAATGCCAAGATGAAAAACATTTTGCAGTTAATGAAACATTCTTTATTCCGTTTGTCAGTTTTCAACATAATATTTAATTTTGCTGTTTGTGTTTTTCGCTATTATTTTATTACTTTATTGCTACTTCTTGGTTTCATTTTCTCTTTGTAGCATGCCGGAAAGCGTATATACTTCTTTGAAATGCTAGAAAGTTTTTTCAGAATAACTCCAAGACTGAGAAAGGCTAAAATACCAGAAAATGCTTAAAATATCCCATATTCACATCCGAAGGCAACCTGAAATTTTCCATCCCCAGGCAGTGTTGTTGACGAGTACATCGCTTCAGAATGATTTTGTGTTTTAAACTGATAGAAAGGACATTTTAAGACTAAATCGTTAAAAAACAGGAATGTACATCTCCAGCCGAAAAATTATTATAAAAAGAGTTGAAATTTTGACACAAATTCCACCTGACTCGGCTACACTCTCAGCCGGCTTTGCTAATTTTATGCGTTTTTTTACGACGATTCTTATTGATGTTTTACGCATACATTTCGTCAGTCTGTCCAAACGCTACTGTTTAACTTACCTAAAACGCATAATATATAGAAATTTCATAACTAACTAATTGCGAGACCACCAAGAACAAACAAAATTTGTTCTCGGTTCTTCCGGCTTCACTAACTCCTCGGCGTCGCTTAACAAATAGCCAACTGATCAACCGCACAGTTTCTATCCAATTTTAATAATTTGTTTGTTTATTTACAAGGTTGTTATTTATAGCGCAGCAGTGCAAAATACACTGGGACTTAAAGCTCATTTTATTTTCAAAGTCCCTGCCCTTTAGCTTAATTCTTTTCTGATGCAAATCCTTATAATGTTTCGCCAAACAATTCAATTTCTCCTATTTACATTGAAGCTAACATGGCGAAAACTTGAGGAAATTATCGACACTTCTCGAGTCTTTTTTCGTTTTTTTTTTTCTTGAATGCATGCAAATTTCTGTACAATTTGTTCTCGAAAATCAGCTGGGTGTTTCTTTGCACGTTCCGAACTTACTTGATCTTATCCTCAGAAACAAGTGACTGAATCTTAGATGAGAAACTCTCCAAACTGATTACTACTCACTCCTCTTTAATATGAGTTGTGAGAATCTAGTAATAGATCAAACTTATTTTCTCTAGGTGATGATTTCTTCACTCTATTACCTTCCTGTTTTACGGTATATTGATATCTTATAGAGATTTACGATGCTGCACTTTACCTTGCCAGCCCTACCCTCCCGTCCTTCATTCCAATTACCATCTCTTATCCCGCATATTAATGACAAAGCATCATGATGACGCTACATTCTGTACAGATTTTGATTGGCTAAAACTCTTCAGCTGGTAGGTGGAAGTCCCCATCTTTGGTTTGGGCGCGAGAAAAGACCTTTGGAAACAAGGTTGCCTTCATTCTTTTATTGCAAAGACTTACCTTGTGCTCGTCCTGATCAATGAATCAGTTACGGATCGCTTTGAGTTTTCTCGCAATCTTTTCTCCAAGAAATGAATGAGCCCGCAGTGTTTTGTATTCACAGTGGTTGCTAGGCAACATACCTGTCGTGACAAGTGCCTGTGATAGAGTACTTTTAAGGTTCCCTCGCTACCTCTTGTTCTGTTGATCAATTTATCCACTGTTTTGGTTTGGTATAATGAGTTAAGCGCGCTAAACTTGATATTCGTTGTGATAGCAAGATCACCGTGATAGCAAATCTTCTCTAACATCTCCCTAACAACTTTAATCATGTCCATCTATTACAACAAAAAGAAAGCAAGTTTTCAAAGCACGTTTTCGCATTTGAATGAGTCACCTGATCATTTTTACTCGCGTTTTATCCTACAGGTGAATCTGCAGTTTCGTTTAATGGCAGGCAATATAATCTGCCCAACTTATAATCTGCCCAACTTATAATCTGCCCAACTTATCAAGCCATTGTATTTCCAGTTGTCATGGAAATTCGCGCGTCATTTAAGGTGACAGCTGTCACAGTAGTAATTCTGTCTTAGAACTGTAATTGAAATTGAACCTCGAGTAGGCTGTTCTCAAAAACCGAGATTAAAATGCTTCACTATCTGCCTGCACGCTTGCACGCCATTGTGTTGTGTCCTATTGTGAAATACAACAGGAGATCGTCTGCTGAGTGTAGTTAATATCAACCCCTGCCTACGTAGTTCCTTTGCTAAATTAAACCATTAAAACGCGGCGCTTCGCTTTATCAGCCCAACAATCCATTGTCTGAAAGCCTCTATCGAGATATTAGCTGTTTACTTGGTTTTGAATATAGTGGTGCCCCGTGGGCTGTATGTATCGCAAATATTTTCTATTTCAATCGGCGGGCGATCATCCTGAAATGACCTAGACAAAAACCACTTCGGGCGGTTGGTATGGAAACGCTGTTGATTATAGGATCGCTTGTTAGTTGGGAATTTCCGAACAACACCTTCCGCCTGAAGGCAATGCGTTTTGTTTTAATCTGGCGCTGAGGATCCCTGGCACACTTTAAAACTTTTCGCTCGGAAGAAAAATTGTTTTTCTTCGATTTGCTCTTTAGGGAACGCAGAGCATCTTTAAGGATTTTGAGAATAGCGATTTCTGGTTTGTAACGCAATTAGCACGCAAGAGTGATACGACTTGTTAACTGCCCTCTTGTCGGCGGCATTGGAGTCTCTCGCTTCCCGCATCTAACACCGATGGTCTCAGCGTTCGACGCGACGCGATGACGGTGGAAATATCGCAACTCACTAGCGAGGAACTGCACATCATGCGAACGGCTTTCAACATTTTTGACAGAAATGATGACGACCAAATCGATCAGGCGGAATTCGGCAGCCTGATTCGCGCCATCGGCTTCAACGCCAGCAATCACGAAATTCAGGAAACCTTGAAGAAATTTGACAAAAATAAGGACGGGGTGATCGATTTCCAGGAGTTTATTTCCATGGCGAAACATTTCGAGGGTTGTTCAAAGGACGACATGGAACAAAATTTGAGACAGGCTTTTAGGTAAGAAAGAAAGAATTCTCTCTGACTCTAGCGTTGTAGTTTCCTTCTCAAAAACTACTATAGTCTAAGTTAAATATCAGTGTAAACTTTACCTCACAAAATTCAACCGTCAGAGAAAAATGCATTTTATTTCAACATATGGCAGCAATTAATTGCGCTGGGTAGGATCAAGCGAAATTACACAAAGGTCCTGTCGTTATTTTATCTGACTACGATGACAAAGTCGCAATTTAACTTCTTTCGTTATTAACTTTGTATCTTTTTGCATTCGTTTCTTAAACTACACTGAGCACTGGATAGTAAGGCGGCTTGATATTGAAAGCGAGCCAAATATTGGCTGTTAAACCACATGATCATTACTGTGAAATGTGTTAAAACCAAAAGCGCAAGAAATTAAACTGCTCAAGAATCAGTCTGAATTTGAATCAAAATGCTCGCTACAAAAAAAAGAAACATTTTCAAATAGGTTTTGCGTTTTACACCGCGGTAAAAACGCCAAGTTCACAGACACATTAAGGATTTCAAACAAACCTGCTTAAAGGCCATGCGCCATAAAAGCAATTTGAAAAGTTTTGCATGTCAAGCACTGGCTGTGAATTATACGACTTCTCATATGTCAGTATACTGTCGCATAATTATGCCACTGAACGCAAGTTGAATTTTTGAAATCCCTGTCGGGTATATGGATCTTTTTAAAACATTTATTTGTTTTTTAATTCAAGTGAATTTATGCACTGAAGGATTTTTGGTTTGTCCGGAGAGTAACAGAAGAGTTCAAAACGATTAAATCGATCACAAAGTGAAACCTTATCCGACCAGATACAAGTGTGAATTTTAAGTACTTCATCCCTCCTCGAAGTGGATTGTAAACTTGATTTGAAACGCCTACACCGAAGTGGTTTTTTTCTTTGAACCTTTTTTGTTAGAAGTGATAGAAAACAAGGAGTGTATTCAAATTAACGACGGAATCATTCTTAATATTGCGTGTTAGACTTCCGCGCCACCTGCCTCCGCTAATTTAGCCATGGTTGTTTTTCAGTGGAGGGGGCATGGGAGGTCTTTGATCATCAAGAAATACAACGTTTCGTACGAATCACAATGTTTTTGTAATTTTCTTATGACGTACTGGCCAAGAACTGATACGATACGGGGTGCATGAAAACAGCAAAAGTGATTTCCAAAAAAATTACACTGTAAGGAAAAACAAACCTTAAAGACAATATCAACTCCCACATTTATGTACAGTGTTGACGAGTAATGTGCTTTCCGCCGACGCACTTGAAAATTTACAGGAAATTTCGCGATATTCCTCACCTGTTTATTGCCAAGTTAACATCGGAGTTGTTTTAAATGTCTGCAATTTAATATCCGTATCTAGTCTTTGTGCATCCCTTGTAGCTTGTTTACACTTAGCCGTTAAAATATACAATACGGTCATGACATAAGAAACCGGAAACTTTGAACCCCTCAAACTCCTGTCGTAAAGTAATCATTTTAATATTGGGAATAATTTCAAGTGCCAATTTCAAGGACGATAATTCAAAACTACAGTCATGGTTCAAACAATACAACAGATGATGATATATTGGTGTGAAAAGCACCTTTCACACCGAAGGAAACTGTTCAGAGCTTTTCACACCTTGTAAGAAATGAAGAGGCTTTTATGCAATGATCAGTTTAGGCAATACTGTTCCGAATCCTTAAGACGACGGTTTTTGTCCTCCTTGCTGGAGGTAATATTTTTCCTTTGTTGTTGGTTCTGAGAAACCAGTAGTGTATACAAATGTCATCAACTGTCTGCTTCGGTCAGGAGGAATGTTATCTTCATCGCTGTCGAGGCTTAATTTGAAATGTGTTAAACAATTATTATGAAATGCTTACCTATAAGAAAACCAAAAACAACTTTTTTGGAGATTAACTGTTGTTGAAATGGTTTCACGGGACAAAGTAACCGTGTAACCGTATTTTAATAACCATTTTCACGTTAACTTCAGCTGTAAGTTTTCTCATTTGCATTACAATACAACCGTGCATGAATGTGAGGCAATTTTAGGCAGTCTTGTAGTATCAGCCCGAAATTGCCTCGCAACCTCGTTCCCAGGGTCTTCTTACTCTCTCTTCTTACCGCTCCGTGGAAGAAAAGAGACCCTGGGAACGAGGTCTAGTTCTCTTCATCAAGCCACAGACATTCGCCTGCTTTGGCCGGCAGCATGCTCTCTAAAAGCAATTTCTAGGTTACTGTTTACAACAAGTCTTATTCTAGAAGCTTCAAGCACCACTACAGAAGTGCAAAAGCTTTTTTCAAATGTTATCTTAGAAAACTCTTCTACCAAAGTCGTCCCAGAGTTAGGGCGGGGTTGTTAATTTATCCCGCATTGAAGTTAGTAGGTGGAAGAAATAGTTCTCATTATACACGGAGAGTCGGTGATGGTGATGAATTTCGAGGGGAATAGGGGGCTGGTGGAGGACTGGTATCCTTATCTTTTAAGATTTTCTTTTTGCAATGCATCCCAAATATGTAGTAGAAGACTCTCAGGATTAAACCATATATGAAACCTTTCCAACCTGAGGAAAGACATAGGAACTACGCGACCCATATCTAAAATTTATTTGCTCACTGCCTGTCTTATCCTGTTTCATTGTCACGCAAAATACTTATTTCGCGTGGGTCGCGGATCAGTTTAAGCGAAATAAGTTTTTTTAAGCATGACATTTAACGTGGAGGTTACCAGATAAGCAATTTAAGTCCTCCTTTACAATGGCCTTTTGTTGTTGTGTCCTCAGGGTGTTTGACCGTGACGGAAATGGCTATATTTCTGCTGAAGAATTGCGTTACGTGGTCACCACGTTTGGAGAGGTGCTTACTAACGAGGAGGCGGAAGAACTGATCGCAATGTTTGACAAAAATAAAGACGGTCTACTGGAGTATGAAGAGTTTGTGACCTGGGCTAAAAATTCTTTGGCAGACTATCTCAAATCTTTGTAAATACTTAAGTATTCCCTTACCACACCTTTGTAATGGCGGCAGAGGTCATCTTCGAGGTTTCATTTTGTATTTATCTGATGTCATATGCTAGAATAAAACTAACATAGAGCGTGCAAATAGACCAGAGCGGTTTTGCTGTTGAAGTTAGTAAAACCAAACCCCAAGGAATTACAATGGCCAATCATAACAAACTTAAGTAGCACGAATAGCCAATGAGAACACGAGGCAAATCCAAGTAATTGGTGCCAAGCGCGGGAAAACCCATGTGACCAAGTCGCGTTTGGGTTTTGTTTTTGCGTCTGATTGGTTGTTCAGGTGATGCGAGATTTTCGAACTAATCGCAGAGCGTAGTAAAGGCGACACTTGCGTGAAAACTGTATACTGTAAGATTGACTAGAAAATTAGCAATAAACCAAACTGCAGAAGAAAACCAACCTCGTTCCAAGGACCTTTCTGAAGACATATAGCCATGGGAACGAGGTTGAAAATCAGCCCAAGTGACATCACTACTTGTTTTTATAATAGACCAATTTCGATATATTAAAATTCAGCCTAAAACAATAGACCTCAGCACGGGGCTCCGGGGAATAACTTAAGAGTTTGTGGGGTTTATTCCCCAGAGCCTCGTGCCGAGGTCTATTGTTTTAGGCTGAATTTTAATATATCGAAATTGGTTTATTCTTGCCTCTCGTGCTTTATTTTTTCAAAGATTATCGCGAAAATAAGGGTGAGGCAGTTGTCTGGACCTTCAGCAGGTTTTTAAAACTGCAGTTGGAATGGGATTCTAGACGATTACAAGCTAGACCACCTTTGAGTAACCATTAAATTAAACCATTAAACTACCTATTGTCCGACTTTACAGGGATGTAACTGGATAGTTTCTTGAATGTGATCCTCGACTAACAGTACATGATTAGATAACTGTTGGTATCAGTTTACCAAGAAGAAGATGGTGTGTTCCCCCTTGTCCTCGCCACCGCGAAAAAAGGAGGGAATACCAGACATTATCAAGATACCTCTTGTCCCTGTTGCAGAACGAGGCCTTATGCTGAATGTTTCACACGAAGAGGAGCAGTCTCGCGTTCGCTTACAGAGGCAAAAGCAAACTCAAGGAAGTGGCCTGATGTATTATAACTTATTATGTATACTCAGTTATGTTCCACCAAATTATCTGAACTTCTTTTAAAAGCAGTGTGTAGCAGTTCGTGAGGAGGAGTAGTATTTGTAACTAACAAATCATAAACGTTGACTAGTCAACATAAAGGACTTTCTAGTGAAGAGAAGGTCGAGGTATTCCCCTTGTGTTAATTCTTTTTGCTCCTTTGTTCCTCGTCTGGCCAACATTCAATCTTGGCTGACCCCGAACACTTTGCTGAAACCGAACCCTGGGCCAACCCACAACTCTGTGCATTTCATCATGCACTTCCAGTCAGCGCATCTCCAGCGTTCCGTGTCGGATTCCTCTCCCCTGTCCCCGCGTTGTTTTCGTTATTGTACTTTCCCCGGGCGTCAGTTTTCCGTGAGTCATGTCGTTTGACACTTTCGCTGACAGACAAACACAATTGCGATGTTGCTTTCGATCAGTCAACATTGAAGTAATCTGCTCTTAACAAATGATGAACATTTCGAAACTGGACAGTGAATTTTAAGCACGTTGGTTCATTGTTTATCAGACAACTACAAATCGAGTTGTTACCCAGGCAGTAAGGCCTGGGTTTAAATTTCGGCTCCGTTTTTTTTTTTTGCCACGTTCAGTCACAAATCGCCGTCTCGTCTCTAAAGCGAATGCGCCACCTGTGCATGCTTACAGCACATGGAATTTACAGGGGTTGTCGTCGAGAAAAGTTAGCACGGATTCCATGATTTCTAGGGCGATGAAATCAAACATAAACGAACA